AAATAAAAACCTTTTCTCTGCATTGTTATTTCTTACTTAAGTAATTATCTATCTGTTTTATTAAAATACTTCGAAAAATATGAATACAATGTATGTAAACTTTGATGTGCTTTTTTGAAATATTTTTAACGTGTGTATCCTTCAAGGTGAAGAACACTTTCAACAACTTACTTAGTTTATATGTTCTATTTTTCTTCAAAAAGGTTGTTATTAATTTATTAACAGACAATTGTAAATGTAAAAAGAACAATCTTCAAATATTGTTTTTTCTGAAGGACACTAGTTGGTAACTAAAAACTATATATTTTATTTTAGATAGATATTTTATTTTTCACAAAAAAAATTGTTGATTTAAACAGTGCAGTGGCGACCTAATTAATCAAAATATTATTTGTTCATAGACAGTCAGTGGCAGGCGACTGATTTCCTTTAAAAAAAAAATAATGGCATTTGCATTATTCATTTATAGGCAGACTTGATATCTTAATTCAATTCAATTAGTGTCTTCAATTTCTGTCATTTAACTGACATCTTTTTTACGTCAACTTAAAGTCAAATTTTGGTCTTTACTGCCGGAAAATATAACGATTTTTAAATTTTTGAAGCTTGGAAAATCAAAAGTAAATCACACAGAAACTGCGCCTTTAATTACATAGAACGTCTTTTGCGGTTGCGGAAAATGGAGAATAATAGGTTATGAATAAAAATGAGCCTTTCTCTTAAAGAATAAATATTGGAAGTATAATATACGGGGTCTTCCATTTTATTTTGTCACGAAAATTAATATTTTTCATTTTGGCTCACTCTATATAAACGATTCGAACTGACTTCAAGAAAGCATAGGATAAATGGCACTTTATTGTTGGCGTAATAAAATTACAGGGAGTATCTATTAATGCCATAACATACAGGGCGTTCCATTTAAAAAATATATGGAAATTTTTTTTTTGAATAGAAGAATTCGATAATAGTTTAAATTAATTATTAAGTTTAAAGTTTATGACGACATTTGGAGGCCATTTTTGTGATGTTCTTTGAGGTCAACTTGGCGTGTTGTTCGGACCACTGACGAGCCTCTGCTACTTGGGTCACTTATTAAAATATTCTGTTTAAAAAAAAATGGATTAGAATATAACGTATATTATTATTTTTGTTGGTGCGGCAAAGCCCGGAAGAAATTGCAATAATTATCACACACACGTAATACAAAAAAAATTGTCGGGGACAATCTCATTCTCACAACTATAAAGTCAATATTTAAAAGGGTGATTTTGGTTTCATTGTTAAGAAAAAAAATTCATCTGTAGGTCTGCCCTAAACTGAAATGAATGAATTAATATTTTGTCTGCATTGCAAATGTGCCAGTTATTTTTATTACTTTAAATTATTATGTTTTGAAAGCTCGGAAAAATCAGTGTAATACTAAAAATCGAGAATACCATCGACATTCCGAATAATTCTTTAATTTAAATAGCCAACGGAGAGCTCTTAACGCTAAAATCGCTGGGTGATTATTAATATTGCCCCGACAAGTAAAAGGCAGGACGCTGATACATCGAACATGTAAGAGGCGCTTCGCTACAACTTATGGGGAATAACCCCTCCATTAATAAAAATCGCTGTATACTTATTACCGAGTAAAAAGAAAACCGTAACATTTCGTTAACTGCCAGTCAAATTAAAGTGTTGCAGTGTGTGATTATCGATCATTACCGATCGAAAAGGCGGTGGCAACTGCGCGTATAAAAATTTACTCAAACCTAGGGCAGGGCTGCTGCAATTTGCTAAGAAAACTGGGCATGTAATTGCGCGAGGTGGTTCACGGCAGAGCTGCGCTCGCAGGAAGGATACGTGGTTTTTAAAAATTTCACGCCAGGCAATCGGCGGCAAACATTTGGTTATAACTGTACGCTTTTTTTTAATACCTGCTTAATGACAGGACGAACCGATTTTTGCCTTGTAATGATGCACATTAGGGAGAGAACTAGTGTCGTGTGCAACTCAGCAATTTTGTTCGCACTAAAAAAAAGATGCCTATGAAGTAGGTCAGATAATAGAGAAGGTTTATGGCCCTATAAAGTACTGGACACGGTTCAACGTATATGGTACTTTTTATAAAACTTCTGGATTCCTCCTGCGTCGGTTTTTCAGGAACTTGGTAACGTTTCACCAATCATCCTGTTGGCTGAAACTGTCAGTCAAGCTCTGAAGAAGCCAACACACACACGAGCCAACAACAACACAAGCCAATTGTCATGGGTATGTGTGTGAAATAAAAGTGGAGAAACCCAGAATCTGCAGGAAGGTTATTGTTAAATTATAATTTTGTATCTTAGAGTTAACTTGGCAATGTCTATTTTGTATTCTGTGCCTTTTCGTTGTGGTCTGTATTTTGTTTGACCTGAAACTAAAAGGAACAGAACAATAGAACTGTGGTGGTGCACATGTTTATAATAAAGATTCAGTTATAAGAATACCGTGTTATCATTTTAACAGTTATTTCGATGTTTTCACATTACCATTACATTATTTAGTTGAAAGGCACCATATAATTAAAGGTAATAGATGTTACCAACAACTACAAAAACTTAATCAGATACTTCTTTGTACTATTATTTCTCGTTTTTTCAGCATGTGTTCTACTTAAATCCTTTACTCTGACGATATAAGGTAATTAATGTTGTTCTCGTCCATGGGATATCCATAGTTTTTGGAGTTCTTTTAATTAAGAAGGTTAAAAGTAATATGAATAAATATACACAAAAACTTAAAGCTCTACCTCACCAGGCGGCAGAAATAACTGCCGATTGGATCGCTGCTTTTTGAGCGAGTGAATGGTGATGAAGTGTTCGCTGGCGACACACGTAGTTCTGAGAACGCGTCTTTTAAACATTCCTTTCCTAATAGCCTTTTTAATTAAAACAATTGTCGATTGCGAAAACGGCGCCATCTTAAGAGGAGAATTAGTATTTATTATTTCATTAGTAGTTATTAGTGCTAGACTTCGTTCTCATTTCGAAACGCGATGCGTAAAGTGAATAGTGTTAAGTAGCAATGGTGTTAAAACACGCTTTAGAAATTATAAGAGTAGAAAATTGAGCAGCTCTTGGGTTTTTAGGTAATATAGTCGCCTATAAAGAAGGAATTGACATTCCGAGCATGCCACTAAATTTTACTAAAAATGCTAACCTGCACTTGTTAACGAGTAAACATGTAATACTTTCCTTACACTCCTTAATGTGAGCAGCACAGTAGCTGTAACCTAACCAAAGCATCGTAAAACTAAAAGAGAAAAAATATCAGTTACATGTAAAACTGGAGATGTGTATAATTGAAAGACCTGCTAGTTAAGTATTTTGTTTGTAAACATAGCACTGAGCACTGAGCGGGTTCCTTCTTAAACACACAATTTACCAATTTTTCTAGGACGTTTAACGAAATTTGAGTGAATTTTGAGAAATCACTGAGATAAAAATGCTACAACTAAACTGAGACCTGCGAAATTGAAGAACCCTAGATCATCAGATTGGTTGGTTTCAAATAACAGGTGTTAATGGTGGAAAACTAGATTCCAAATGCATGCGAATGTTGAAACATTTTTTTTATCGTCGCTTTAAAAGGTACTACAGGATCTGGACAGATATTTTTAGAAAGATTTCATGCCAAACAATCTATATTATTTCTTATTTTAATCTTTGTTTGGAATACTCCTACCCAGTCCGTTAACAATCCTAGTTACTTTCAAAAAATCGTTTCTTTTCGAAAGTATACGCGCTCCTCACTAAACTCCAGATCTCGAGTAACGGTGCGTTTTACAGCGTCACCGTCGGTACAGATGGAATCAGCTTCGGAACAAAAAAACGTTTTTAATTTTTGCCTGTCCGTTCTCTGTTCACGATTCTTCGACGCTAACTTCGGAACGGTCTGAACTACACGTTTCAAATTTTATTCATTTTTTACAGTCCACTAGGTGCATATTTTAAAATGGCGGCGATCGGACATTGGCGACCATCTTTTTTTTCGATTCTCTACTTTTTTTGAATATTGCTATGAAACAAGATAAGTATCAGCAATTTGATGCTATCGACTTCAAATTTGGCACACATATGAAGCTATTACAGAACCTATTGAAATTGCGGGCGCTGGAGGAACGGGAAGTATTTAAAACATAAAAATAAAAACCGCGTTTGCAAGTGTCGAAGAGAAAGATCATTTCTCGAAAACCCTTTATTCCTGTTAATTTTTTAAAACTGTACAGGGTGCGCCGCAAATTCAAATAGAAAAATGGGTCCCCCTATTACATGACTATATAATCCGTACAGACTGCTAAATCTTTTGTATTTAAGATTTTCACCTATTGCACCGGGTGTTTCCGATATTCCGTGCTATATAAGGTGTCCTAAATTTGTAGATATCGACTTCAAATTTAGAAGAGAAGTAAACCCACTCCCAAACCGTAGAAGAAAAATTTTAAAATTTTTGTTGGTTATTTTGTCTTCCAGAAAAACATGGTTTATGAAAAAACTATTCTCACGATTGGCAAAATTTGGGGCTGTAACTTTCGTTTCATTCATTTTTTCGATTATACAGGGTGTTTTAGTTTTGGACGATAATCTAAAAGATTCTAAAAAATGTTCTTTTCGGGAGTAAATTATTATCCGTAAATTAAAATTTTTAAAAAATATGACTAATCGGTTCAAACGCTGTTATAGACCACATCAAGCACTACAACTTTTGTATTTACGGTTACGTTCAGAGCTATGTACAACCAACAAAAGACTCTTGTAGACGGATCGCTGGAAGAAAAGGGAAAAAACACACTGAACATTCCAAACAGCACCAAGTTGGAATCAAAATATCAGTATGCAAATATGTGTGATCCCACCCCGTGACATAGGTATTGCGTCAAACCTCCCACAACTTCATCAACATTATCTTTCTCTTGGACCTCGAAGTTAATTTGCAGGGAAAAGAAAGCCGAATCCGAATTACAACTGAAATGATCTTTATTAAAAGAAAAGTAACACAACTACACAATTACATGGAAATAATTATTTTAAAATGTACGCCCGAGCCAATAAAAAATACCATGACGTCTCATTAGTAATAGTTTTTGCGCCGCGTTGGGACCCCTCGGGGGGCGCGCGTTTTCTTAACCCTCGTATAGCTGAATTCCGGTTTATCCCAACCTCCAATTCACCTGTTCCCCTTACTTTTTCTCCATTTGCCGTAAAAACTGGCGATCGATTCTATAGCGATACCGACCGACTGCGCCAAACCGACGTAGCTAAACTCCTTGTTCTCTCCGTTGGACAACACGGCACTGTTGCCTATTAGCAAAGTGACCACGTTCGATGCCCCCTTCTGCTGTTCCGCGAAGAAATAGCAGCACTCGACGATCTGAATGTAAGCGTGCATATCTTTGTCCCGCCTCTTTGGGTACTTGATGAACGGGATGGGTGTCCGTTCGTATTGACGCTGTGCTCTGAAAAAGCGATTTCCCCGGTGGAACTGGGATTCCAGCCAGCGGATCGCGTCTCGAGCCTCCAGTTTCTCCTTCTTTAAGTCATCCAGTGCGGAAACCACTACAAAAATTCATTGTCTTAATATACAATGTATGTTTTCAGTGACTGCTCATGGTTATAGTCAAAACAATTTATAAAAAGATGAAATGAAGAAATTTCGCAAAATCGCAAAAAAAAACTAAATCGATCGTCACGAGAAAAAAAAAAGAATCTGGGGTGATACAGATCTGTTTTAGGAATAGAAACGTGAGGAAATAGCCAAACGAGGACCTTAATCAACTTGCAAACTGATATGATCAGTGTTTGTTGAAATTGGAAGAAATATTTTTATTCAAACCCCTTCAAGTCTCGAACAGAAATTTATTTCGTTCGAGTAACCTCTCGTTCGATAACTAATAGGTGTGATCATTATTTCACACTTTTTTTGTTATCTATAGATCAGATCAGATTTTTTTGATCGAAGATAACTTTTCTTCTATTCATTTTATTAAAATTGATCGTAAATGTTCAGTATCTTGCAACAAGTACGATAATGAAATATTATAGCGGTACCAATTATTGGACCACAATTCTACGTTGCAATTCTATGAAAAAGTATAGCTCAAAAGCTAATCTCTCCAGTTCGGAAATCTTCCCCGATAAATATACGGTTTATTCGCAGTGATAGGAACTTTGCAGCTCCAGGTGCGTCTAGGGGAGGTGGAGTGTTACTTGCATGTTCTTTCACAGAGAATCGTTATGTCTCCGTTAACTGGTATTTCTAAGGCTGTTGATTTTGTCGGTTGGAAGATTGCTGTGGGTCGATCCTTTCAGTTCAATGTTTTTGTTTTGTAAATACCACCATCAGTGGGATAATGATTTTGAGTTCTTGGAGTGGTTTTCGGTGTTTATTGAATCAGTAAAAATAACATAATTCTTGCCGACTTTAATGTTCATTTTAAATGCATCTAAACATCTCCCATTCACTTCGACCATTTATTTTTCAGAAGCAACAGGTCTTAAACAATATAATGATAACATGAAACGTTTGCTGGATCTAGTATTTTCGAGCATTCTTTCTCTGACGAGTGTCCTATTGTTATGCCTGTACCACTATGTATTAGCGTAGAAATAATAAGTCTAATCAGACTACAGACATTGGCCTGAAACAATTTAACTTTAGAAAGGCAAACTTTTCTCTAATGCATGATAAGATATTGAGACAGTGAAAGCATACGCACAAGCAATCTTTCAGCGTTGACTCAATATTTGTGCGAATCAATTGATGATTTGGGTTAGACGGATGTAGCATATATGAATTTTCAAAAACCATTTCATCAGATAGATTATTATATTTTATTATCGAAACTTCAAAAACGTTGTCGTTATAAAACTTTCGGAAATGCCTATTTATTAGATCGTAGAGATCTTGTTGAATACGAGGGGTTTAGCTCCCTAGTATTTCATCACACGTCGCGGGGTACCACAAGGATCAAATTTAGCACCTCTCCTTTTAATCATAAATGGTAAGTAGAATTGTAATAAATTGGTAAATGAAGACGATTTAAAACTGTATAACATGATTTATTCTAACGAAGATTGCTTCCTGCTTCAGGGTAACATTAATATATCAGTATATGGTTAATGGAGTAGGTTTAAATGTTTCTAAGTGCATAATTACTCTAGAAAGCTGAAAATAAATTTATTTAATTACCTGATAAATGCAACTGTATTGAATCAATTCGAAGTGAAGTTATAGGCTTTTACCTCAAATGGCGTCAAGAGCTTTGGGTTTTGTAATAATAAGTTGCCGACACTTATTCCTTTTTCAAGAAAAAATACACAGGAGTCGGCGACGGAATGGAGGTGTGGAAAGGTTAGGTAAAGTTTGATGCAGTAAGTAAAAATAAGTGGTTATTTCGTAACTTTTAAATAAATTTAAATTTTAAAACAATTTGAAGGTATTTTTGGTTTCAAAATCAAAAAAGCTATTTGGGGATTGTGAAAGGTTATTAAACAGTATCCATGAAAACATCAGACAACTCTCTGATAAAGTTTCAAAGTACAAGAAAAATACCTGCGGCAGGGATCAGGACGATAAACTTCCTCGAATACACCAACTGCTTGACCATGTAGGTGTACTTGATTAGAGTATCGGCGTCCAATACCAGATAGGGTGACAGGGAGGGCTTGTCGCCGACCCGCGTCTCTAGGGTTCTCACTTCTGCTGCTAACCACAGCTGCCCCATGTGTTTCATTTTGCTGATCTGACCACCTGCACCAGCCAACTTGGTTTCCCCATTTGTGATTACCGATTTTGCGGAGCCGTTCTCTTCTTCCTGGCGCTCCTGAAGAAGAAATATCGGTTAGTGAACAAACATGCATGCAAGGAACTGTATATCAAAATCTACAGTTGCCATTAAAATAATAAAAAAATGTCTATGAAGGGACAGCTAACAATAACAAAGCTTAACTTTGCTATTTGAAAAAAAAAAAACAGCACTCACTCTCAGTGGTATATGCCATTAAAATAAAAAACCATGCGCTTAAACATTTTCTTTACATATAACACTGGAATTTTAATTAACCAAGTGTATCCCTGATCCCCGCTTTGAATGTAACGCCAGTTGCAAAAACTAGTATTATAGGCGCTTATAGTCATTTTCTCTATTTAATGGAAATTAAAGGAAATTAAAAGCATACGTAAAAAGAAAATCAGGAATGCCATTAAATTGTCCAATAGTAACAAACCTTCAATTGTTTTGGCATTTTTTTTACCTTGTTCTTTTTTTTATTCAACCTCGATTTTTTTTTTTTAAATCTGCTACAAAATTCTTTACAAGATCAAAGAATTGTCTACTACTCCATAAAAACATCCGATGCAATTTTCAATAGCTTACAAATGCGTTTTCTGATTTGAACACTTGTGGGTTGTATGATTTTTAAACATGTTACTTAGAAGCTTTGGCAGCATTGGTTCAGCAATATTTGAATTCCCAAAAAGTGAGTCCCTAATTTTTGAAAGATTAAGTTACAGAATATTTCTTATTTTCTTTTATGGTCTAATTTCCCCGAAATAAGGTGCCACTTAAATAACTACCAATTTTTTGTATTTTTTATAATGGAATGAAATTTGATAGGAAATGTCTTCATATTTAAGTAAAAGTATAATAGAATATAGCACAGTACTATTATGTGCGACAGACAAAAAAAGATTTACACCATAATTTTCTCTTCGCATACAAAACGTATTAAAAAAAAAAAAGGCGTCGTCCTCGTTACGAAACTTCGTATCATTAGGGCAGCGAGTGAAGAAAAGGCGGGGGCAAAACGAATTATTCCCTTCGGCCTTATACTTCTTTCTTTCTATCTTCGCTCGCGGCTTCTCCCGAAACGTGAACCCTCCTCGTTCCTCCGCCCCCGGGACGTCTTAATTAAAAGCGCCCCGGGGGTGAAGGGGGGACGGCGTCGGTACCGGCGGCGCGCCGGCGGCCGCGTCTCGACGCGTCGCGGGATTACACAAACCGGATGCGATGTAATTACGCGCGTTCTCGCGAAAATTGCCGAGGCCCGGCTCATTTGCATCTATATGGATTCGGGTGCGTTTTCCCGCACGAACGACCCCGCTCCGGATGCATTCCGGGGTCTGTTCCGGTGGCCGTTTCCGGACCAGCGACGCTCTAATGAGGCAGGGGCGCTCCTAAGCCGGAAAATATGGAAATTGGTTTTTTTTCGGCGCCCGACGTAGGAATTTCTCCGAGGAATCGGCGCTTGATTGGGTTCTATAATTTTTTTTTTCGTAGGCGATATCTTGCGATAAGAAAATCGCCACGCGATAAAGGAAATTAAAAATAATACTATATGGAGTGTTCCATAATAAAAAGCTCACTCATCCTTATTTAAAATACAAAAAATGGGTTTTCTTCATTTTTATTCAAACTGCTTTAGATATTTTGTTGAATGGTGCATAGAATACGTTGAATAATTTTATTGAAAAAAATGGTACGCCATTGTTGTTTTCAAAAATATATGACATTTTTAAGGTCGCGATTCATTTCTTGGTACAAACTTTTTATTGTCCGACGAGGGATTTCCAATTAAAAAAAACATTTATATGCATATCGTCAGAAGCAAAAGATTTGAAAAAGGGGTTGGAGAACAATTATATCCACAATATTGTGCATTTCAATCTTTTTTCAATAAGGTTTCACTTTGCTAAAAAGAATTCAATTGATTCTAAATTGACCCTCAAAGCAATCCAAAATAATCAAGAAAATCAACTAAACTAAAATTTTGAAAATCATCCGTGGAAGGACACAAAGTCCAGTAGTGGCTTGCCATTTTATTGGATAAAAATATTCTTTGCCATGCTTACTCCGACGTTTGTGGTGAAAATAGAAAAAAAATTCACAAGCAGTTTCAATGAAAATGAGAAAAACCCGTTTTTTATTCCAACACCCTGTATACATTGATATAATCTTTTTTTTGGTAAAGTCATCCAAGAATCAGCATCTCATTATGAAGCACTCTGTATATATATAAAAGCTATTTAAAATAACAATTAAATAAATCCCCAGTTACACGATATCTCGCGTATTTTAAATTCAACTGACCGTGGAACTTTCTTCTAAAAATGGGTTATTTTTATTATGCCTAATTCTAAAATTCATTTTTTAGAAGTTGATCTACTTTTTGCCTATTATGCAAAAATTGGGCTACTTGTTTTTAGAGAACAGTATTTTTTCTAATAATAGCGTATGACCTTGTATGTTTTAGTTTTTTTTTTCAATATAACAAATTTTAAAGCCTTTTAATATTTAATATTATCAATGTAGTTTTCAGAAGATCTATAAAATTTTCCAATACTTCCACATAATCGATAACAAACCAGACCATAATAGACCAATTTTTTAAAAAGATTATTGTTACTTCCTAAATCAACATCAAGTGATTTGCTTTACCTTGAAATATGTTGCACACCCTTAATTTGCCAAACCTTCGAATCTTGCCTCAATTTTCTAAGAAAGTGTTAAGAAGAGACGGAAGAGAACCATCTTGATCGCCAGCAATTTCTGGTAAATAACACTTTAGAGTGGTGTTTCGTGAGTTGGGTAATGGCGAGTGCTGGAGCAGTCCATTATATATCACTTTAAGAAGGCAAAAGAAAAACACTGCAGTCGTCTCACGCTACAAGAATTTTTACACAAGCTTTGCAACCTCTGATCTACCATCCAGTTATTTAAAGTGCCAATTGCCAATATCCATTTTAAGGATTATCTCTCAATTAAGATTGAGTAACAACATTTTCTGAAATTCGCCTATAAAGGCTGCGCCTACTTTAAACCCGATCAGATTTGCTCTGTATGTAAACACTAATCAATTTGAAATAATGTAACACCTTATATTCACTTGTCCGATGTATAATGTTCCCCGTACCCTGGAGTTTTACAATACCTGTGTCACTGCCTTAAAAATTTGAATTCACGTAAGTCAAAACGTCTTGCTTATCCAATTATATATATATATATATATATATATATATATATATATATATATATATATATATATATATATATATATATATATATATATATATATATATATATATATATATATATATATATATATATATATATATATACCCGCACCATTCTAAGAAACGAGTCAGTAGTCAGTGGTGGCAAGTGAGAAAAATTTGAACGTGTTCTGCAATCATTGCAAAATAAAATTTACCTTAACTTTAAACAAGAACTAAGAAAATGGAGAATTATTAATTTTCTCAATTATCTGTTCATGACAAACATCAAGCGTGCACTTTAACAGATCATTCTGAATGCGTTTGGGAATGACTTTAAATATCGAAGAATTTTTAGGTGGTGCTCACATAATAATCGGAAAGCCAATTCAACGCAACGCAACGCAAAATTTAATACAATTAATAATTTTTGACACATTTTCAGAATCTAATTAAGATATGGGTTGACCCTAATCACGCAAATTCCATACAATTATGAAAGTAGCTTTTAGGATTTTCATGTCTTTTTATTTTCAAACTTAAATGCTCTAGATCGGTGACTCCTAGTTCCGTCCACAGCATTTTTTATTGTTACATCCACAAACCCGTTCGTTTTTTGAATAAATGTCTTTATTAAATTGCTTGTCTTTACTAATTTGCTCTACTTTCAACGGTACTATCTGGTAATGGCCCACCTTGTGCTTTTAATTCTAAGTTTAATTCGTATGAATATTTACAAAATGTCTTCACATTAAATAAATTAAAGACTACCCCATAGTTCATGGTGAATATAAACTGTCAGAAATACACAAAAGCAGAAGCAAACGCACTCTATTATGATTGTTTTTACGTTCAACATGTCTCGCTCTAACCCAGAATAGAATAAAAAATTCATTTTTACTAATTACGCACATTTAAGAAAAAAGGGATTAGAATGATTTCAGAACGGAACATATCTTTGGCATTAATATTAGGGTCAAATATATTTATAGCACACCTAAATAGTCGAGTTTCTTTTTAAGAAACACATTTTGTTGCCATCGAAATATTCCATATTTCACTTTGTTTTATTATCCCTTTAAATAACAGAAAAAATCAGATAATTGTGATTGATTCTTCAATTCTCTTTTAAATAATCCCGAGAGAATAATACAACATAAAAAAAATTCAACGCAAAATGATTATAATTTTCTGCAAAAAACCCTAAGAGAACAAAAAAAAAAGTTTTCCGAAAATATGTTGTCCAATAAACACTACTAAATAGGAAACTCACCAGTTCTTCCATTATAGCAGTCGCCGTGGTACCATTCTCTTCCACAGAGTTGTCAGATTTACATGTCAGAATACTAAGGGTTTCGTCAAACGTAACTTCGGTTTCCTCCACTCCGCGCAAAACTCTGGCAAACGACATAAGTTTGACCATTCTTATGACAGTCTCTTCTTTGCTGGTGATATTTTTCCTGGACAAGTACTCCCAGTCAAAGTCTTTCTGCGTGTCCTTGAACATATCCAAACCTTTCAGAACCACATCTTCCGAAAGCGGAATTTGGTTATCTTTTTTCACTATTTCCGATACCTGCGATAAAATATTTTCATTATTAAATCCGTCAAATCTAAAAAATTAAATACACACTTTCAAGTTGACTCCAATCATCTTTTGTTGGTTAAGATTAATATTAATTAAGTTGATAAAATACACTATCTGCCGGATTAGGCTCTTGGTGTTCAGTCCGCACAATTTTATAACTTCCGTGTCAAGTCTAAGCCAATCATTAAGAATTTTGATGCTTTGAAGCGAGCCCTCTTCTGCTATTATCTCAAGCATGTCGTTAACGTTCATCCTCTGAACCTTTTTGATAACACCATCTTTGGTCTTTGATTCGTCTGATTCGTTAGCCACATTTTTAGATGTCACTAAATGTGGAACAGATTTTTCGTTAACAGACTCATCGGACACCTTAAAATTAATTATAAAAATAAATAACATCTTGGTGAAACCTTGCAGTACAAACCTTTATAATGTCAACATCCTCATCGGAAGACCCAACCAGAATATCCTCAGCATCCGAAATAAATGAATCATCCGAGCTGCTGTAGTCTATATTGTTTTCAGTGTCACTCAAATCTGAGTCTTCATCACTGTCAATCTTCAATGCCTTTCTTCTCCGAAGTTTGGTGTTGGATTTCTTTTTGCCCCCACTCATTAAATCCTTTAAAATACCATGACCTTTAATGGGTCTACTTTCCTTAGGCAAGGGATAATTAAGTACAGCCTCCTGAATATGATTTGTGATGTTCTGAATTATCTGGGAGTAAATACTCAAGGTAAATGCAATTAAAGTAGACAGTTGGGGAGAATTGGTTTCACGAAGCTTTGCAATTGTGAGTAGACATATGACTGCAATTTTGAAGAGTGTCTGATCATCCAAGTAGCTTAAGTGGGACTCAGTCTCAGTGGAATCTACATCTGATTGATTTTCTCCTGATTCACTGGCAACTGGTTTGCTAAAAGTCAAACACTCCTCTAGATTTTTATAGGTTTGGTGGCAAAGACTGTAGACCTTGGTAACTTTCTTGTTATAGTACCATATATCAATCAGAAGCAGAAATCTGAAAAACAATAAAGGTAAACTATAGAGGACCAAATAATTCATAGCAAATTTTAGTTAATAGCATAGATATCTAATCATTATGTTCATTTTAACATGGAGTCAATATCTTGATGGGCTGAGACAATGTCGCCAGTGCTGGTCATCGCTGAGGGTTTGTCACAGATACACCAAACACAGAATAATGTTTTTATGTATTCAGAAAAAAAGAAATTTAACTCATTATATGTTAACAAAACTCCTTGCTAAAATTAGAAATTAGAAATCCCTTTTTTATGGCAACCTGGAAAGTTTTTCACCCTAATTTCACCTGTGTCTTGTATTAGGCTGCTTTTGCTTATTTTTTGTACAAAAAGTGACAATAACCTGTGCTGTCCCTTCTACTTGGACGTCTGTGGTCTATAGGGTCCAAAATAATTGCATGACAAGCTGACACTAGCACATAACAAAATATTAATGTACTTGTGAAAATATCACTTAGTTTGAAAGAATATTTTTCAACATTTGAAAATAAAACATTACAGTACAATACATAATACTATCTATTTAACAACACATCAACACATAGGAATTAAGATTCAACTATTAGACTTACCTTGCGAGAAATTGCTTGATGGTCTCTGATTTGCCTAGCTCCACTATACAATCTGCCTCTTTATCAACAGTTGGAAACTGTTCAATAAATTTAGCATTTTTTTCAAACAAACTAAGCAAATTGTTGCTTGTGCCTTCAAATGGAAATTTGCAAGCAAGACACCGCATATAGTAATAAGTAGCTCCCAGAAAATTGTTCTGACTCATGGCCAAAGTTCCCATTTGATTATGGGGCATTCCATATTCTGGCTTGTAAGACACGGCTTGCAAATAGTATCTCGTGGCTATTGTGTGCTCCCAATTTGGATATATTTCTATCTTGTATCTTGAAAGATCTCCTAAATATATCAAGCACTGATGAACAGATTGCTTGGCCCACTCAACAGATTTTGAATCACCCTCAGCAAATTCATTGTCGCAATCAAAAATGATCTCAAAGTCAACTATGTTTTTCAGTTTAATGTTAAACTGACACTGAAGTTTTGAAATTATGTGATGATAAAATCCCACTCCTGAATTAATATATGCTTGAATATTAGAAATTTCCTCTTTTGTATAGTCCTTTTTCTTCAATTTTTTAGCAGTTGAAATTACATCGTAAAAGGTCTTTCTCCAAAGCAGTTCTTCAGTTTTGCGACCATATAAAACGGGATCGGAAAATATCAGCCGTTCACAATACTCGCAAAATTTTCGACGTTGGGCTTGCAAGCCAGGGTTAAACAAGTCTCCGATAGATCGGACACAGCTTCTGGCATCATCTAAGCGTTTAGCTTGATCACTTATAGTCCTAGAACGAAAGCGACATTTATTTTGATATATTTAAGTATTTCAATACTGTTAGGGTACCGATAAAGTTTTTTTGAGAGCTCTTCGCCCTGTTTTTGTTGAATATCTGTGGGGTTATAAATTTTCTTCATTTTTTCAACTCATTTTTGTCCCAGTTCCTGGTCAAGAATTCAACAATTGCTTTGTAATTTCGACTATCTCCGCGATATGATCGTAAAAAATATTCATTGTAACATTATTAAATTTATAAAAATATTTCAACACCATCACAATCACAATTTCTTATCGAAATGCATGACATATGACAGAATGAAGAAAATATAGAACACAGATTTATTTCCTCTTCTTCATAATTGGGCGTGTTAGCTAAGGGCACTTGCTGATGAGCGCCAACCCTTGAGGATTAAATATCCAAACTCCTATTATGTATTGTTTGGATGTTTTCCGCTATTTAGTAATAATCGTCAAATAAATTTCAGAGTATTGCTTCAAGTAAAGATGCTAAGATATTAAATGTGTGTGGGAACTTTCTTGCTTTCTACATTGCGAGAAGTATTAAGAAGAATATGCAGTGTACCTAACCTTATCTCTTTAAAAGTATTTTGGAATATTTACATTTAAATTTTTGGAATAGTAGGAGAATGTCGGGGTCCGCGGCACAGTTCAAACAAGATATGCCTCCGCCGGGAGGTTACGGGCCTATAAATTTTAGGAAAGTACCCGCTAAGAGATTATTAAGCGGTGAGTTTGTATCATTGAATTACATAATAATCTTTTCATCCGTCACTGTCTCTTGTAGGGTACGCTATATTCGGAGGTTACGTCGGAATTACTTTAGGTGCTTTTTATTTGTATACGTTAAATTACAAATCTGTGAGGGCAAGAGAGCTGGAAATGAAATCGGCCAGTTTTGCTATATATCCAATGTTGTTGGCAGAGAGGGATCGAGCATTTCTTAAACAGCTGAGACGTAATCGAGATGAAGAGGCTGATCTCATGAAGAACGTAGAGGGTTGGAAGACGGGCACTTGGTATGGCGAGCCAATTTACCAAACTTTGGAACCTGACACATTGATTGAACCTATGGCATATGAGTTTTTCGTGCATGGAAATTTTAAAGATTTCTCTAAGAGAGCCTTGTTGCCATATCTTTCATAGTTATGTTGAGCAAATGTTATTAATGCTTAAGGGTAGTTTCTGTCATTAGCAAATATTTGTAGGCAGGTCTTTTCATTATTAATAAACCAAATTTAAGAACTTGTTCATGTTTATTGATTAAGTCCAGTTTCCATAGAAACCAATAAATAAGTATACTTAAATTTTTGATAGTTTTTGTAAAATATATGTGTATAAGATGGATTCAAAGGACCGAAATTGCAAAGCAGATGAGATAGATGATGAAAAATATTGGAAACCTCAGTATAAAGGTGACAGTAGAAAGTGGTTGTTAGGAAATGGTCTCACTACATTTGCTGCATCATTTCCACTGTCAACAATGAAAGAAACTTTTGTGTGGAGTAATCCACAGGATGATGAAAACAATATCGGTAATAACTAAAAATTTGAATGCAGGGTGCACCACTGAGAAAACTAACTAATTATATTTTTTCAATTCCTTAGAATCTGTAGTAATATATTTGTTCCTTCTTCTGACAAAAAGTTAGGTTTATATCGTGTAGCATATCTGTATTTTTCCTTTAATCATTTACAATATCAATTTGCTAAGATAATAAGCAGATTATTATTATAAATGCATTAAAATATATGAATAAATATTGTGATTAAAGAATAACAGAATTTATATTTTTCAAATGGAAGCATTCAATTTGGGGAATTAAGAATTGGTCAACTCATGATCTATGAAACAATTGTGTTAGTAACATTATTTAAATATTGTAAACACATTGTAGTTATTTTCAAATTTTAAGTGACAATATTTCATTGGTAATTCTTGTTTGTTTTTAATTTGATTACAATGCTCACCTCAGGTTAATTATGATTCAAAATAAATAAGAACTAAAAGTTCAGATTTTCACGAAATTATATATTTTCATTTTTTTTTTACAAAACTTCTGGATTCCTCCTGCATCGGTTTTTTCTGAGTCGAAATTGCTGACGTTTCGCCAATCATTCTGTTGGTTTCTTCAGAGCTTGAGAGCCAGTTACCGTCAAGCTCTGAAGAAGCCAACAGGACGATTGGCGAAACGTCAGCAATTTCGACTCAGCAAAAACCGACGCAGGAGGAATCCAGACGTCTTGTAAAAAGTATTACAGTAGCTTGTGGACTTTTTCTTTGAAAAATTATATATTTTCACATAACATTTTTGTCGACAACACCGTGTCTTTATCAAATATAATATTTACAAACTACCTGTTACTACATATACTGAAAAATGACAATAAAACCTTAATTAATGTTGTGAGAATTTAAGTATAATAATGGAGAGGTATTTAAATCTAATTGATCGTTAAGCAATATATTTGAATGTCTCATTTTATTAATCTCTATGGCTTCCAATAAGTTTAATTTTCTATTTTTTGTGGCTGTATGTAAGATATCAAAATTGTCGTCAAAAATGTGTTTTTCTGTGTTTAAGTGTGTAGCATAATTAGAATCTAGACTATTGTTTTTAAACGCTGTTTTATGTTCGTTAATGCGTTTCTTGAAGGATCTACCTGTTTGTCCAATATAAATTTTAGGACACAATCTGCATTTCAACTTGTAGACACCTGATTTTTGAGATTTTGGACATTTCGTTTTATTGTTTTTTAAAAATGTTCCTATTGTGTTGTTAGTTCTGAAAGCTATTTTTAAAGCAAATTTTGGACAAACGCTTTAAAGCTTTTTGGTTAGTTTTGGTTAGTTAGTTAAATTTAACTATAATGGACGGAATGTAGCCGTTGTTCAGTGCAATTTGTTTAATGATATTAAGTTCTTTGAAATTTTCTGTTGAGAGTGGCGTATTAAGAAGTCTGTGTATAAAAGAGTGAAATGCAGCCATTTTGTGTGTATAAGGGTGATTTGAGCTGTTATGTATGACTGTGTCCGTGTGTGAAGATTTATGGTAAATGGAAAAATCTAATTTGTTTTGCGTTTTCGTAATAGTTAAGTCTAAAAAATTAATAGAATTATCCAGTTCAATCTCGATAGTAAATTTTATACGATTATGTAATGTGTTAATGTAATTTAAAAAAAAATTCAATTGTCTGTCCGTTCCAAGCAAGCAAGCAAAGATATCATCCACGTATCTATACCACCATAGAAAACTTTTACTTAAAGGATGCTCTAGTATAATATTTTCCAAATTATCCATAAAAATCTCGGCTAACAAAGGACTAAGTGGGTTTCCTATAATCAAACCTTCCTTACAGATTATTAAATTCAAAATAATTTTGGTGTAAAGATACTATTAAGCAATCTAATAAATTTTGTTTCACCAATAGGTTAATCTGTTTCCGAGTGAGGATAAAATCTATTAAATCTATCAAATCCATAGGTGGAATACTGGGAAATAAGTTTTGTACATCAAAAGACAATAGTGTTGCGTTAGAAGGGATTTTGATATCTTTAATTTTGTTGATTAATTCAGCAGAATTTTTTGTTGCAAATTTTTGTTTAAAATATATGTAGAACTTTAAAATATTTACTAATTTTGTTGAGAGTGTAACTGCTGAAGCTGTTACATAAGACACGACTGCTCTAATGGGCATATCTTGTTTATGTAATTTAACTAAATAATATAATTTCGGCAGTTGTCGATTCATAATTGTTAAAAAATAGTTGTCTTTGTCACTAAATAGAGTGGAGTTAGTAATTACTTCCTTGACTTGTCTTTGATATCACTCGGTAGGATCGTGTTTGATACATTGGAAAAGTTCTGGTTTAAGAAAATTGTTGGTTTTTGAAATATATTCTTTGAGATCGATAGCTATGACTGTCTTCCCTTCATTTGCACGTGTAAATATTATGTTATTTTCAGAAGCTTTGTTTTCGTTTTTACTAGTTACATTTGAGAAATTTCTTGGTGTTTGTGGTTATCTATTAATTGAGAGTTTATTATATTCGCTAATACATGTTTGTTTAAATTAGAATCGTTTATGTCCTGAATTGCTGATTCAAAGTCGATCCCCAAACAGTCTAATTCTTCATTAATTTTCGAGTACTGTACCTAAGTTAAAGTTGAAACCTTTTTCCAGAAATTCATCTTCATTTTTAGAAAAAGTTGTGTCTGTTAAGTTTATGAACCTGTTGTAAAATTGGTGGTCGGTATACTTTGTAATAAGTGGCTTGCTGTTAGATATTTTTGTTTTAGAAATTAATTTGTCTAACTTTAGTTTTTTTCTAAGAAATCAAGTGTGTAAGATTCTAGGGATTAAGTCTATGAGACAATTCAGAATGTATTTCCTTTACATAAATGTTGTTTGTATCCCGTTTTCTGTACTCGTGTCTTCGTTCTTCCTTCATCCATTTCGTCTGGCCTTGGATCTGGGCTTACCTTGCAGCGGGACTTCTGTTGTTGGTTTTTAATTTAATAAACTTGGGAAAAACCTTATTTTCTAGATATTTGTTAAAAAACCAAATGTTTTGGGAACATATTCGGCAACAACAAAATTAAATTTGCAATAAAAACTTTTAAATTAATCAACAAAATTAAAGATATCAAAATCCCTTCTAACGCAACACTATTGTCTTTTGATGTAGGTACAAAACTTACTTCCCAGTATTCCACCTATCGATGTGATAGATTTAGTACATTTCACCCTCAGTCGGAAACAGGTTAACCCATTGGTGAAACAAGATTTATTAGATTGCTTAATAGTATCTTTAGACCAAAATTATTTTGAATTTAATGGACAGATATACATCTCTAATGAAAGTTTGATTACGGGAAACTCACTTAGTCCTTTGTTAGCTGAGACTTTTATGGTATAATTTGGAAAATATTATACTAGAACATCCTTTAAGTAAAACTTTTCTATGATGGTATAGATACGTGGATAATGTCTTTGCTTGCTTTGTTGGAAAGGACAGACAATTTAATTCTTTTTTTAAATTACATTAACTCATTATATAATCGTATAAAATTCACTATCGAGATTGAACAGGATAATTCTATTAATTTTTTAGACTTAACTATTACGAAAACGCAAAACAAATTAGTTTAGATTAGATAAATTAGATTAGATTAGACCATAAACCTTCACACACGGACACAGTCTTACATAACTGCTCAAATAAGCCTTATACACACAAAATGGCTGCATTTCACTCTTTTATACAAAGACTTATTAATACTCCACTCTCAACAGAAAATTACAACAAAGAACTCAATATCATTAAAACAACGTCTACAATCCGTCCATTATCGATAAAATTATAAATAAAAAACTAATCCAGACAACAGACAACACTAAAACGAAATGTCCAAAACCTCAAAAACCAGGTGTCTACAGGTTGAAATGCGGATCTTGTCCTAAAATTTATATTGGACAAACAGGTAGATCCTTCAAGAAACGCATTAACGAACATATAAGAGCGTTTAAAAACAATAGTCTAGACACACACTTAAACGCTGAAAAACACACAACACAAAAGAAACACAGAAACACAATAGAAAATTTCAAAGAACTTAATATCATTAAGCAAATTGCACCGAACAACGGTTACAATCCGTCCATTATCGATAAAATTATAAATAAAAAGCAAATCCAGACAACACTAAATCCTATTTATCCAAAACCTATTACAGAACACGGACAATTTAAATAATTACATACATAAGAGAACCTCGCCAAAAAGCTTTAAAGCGTTTGTCAAAATGTGCTTTAAAAATAGCTTTCAAAGCTAACAACACATAGGAAAATTAAAAAAAAAAATAAATAAAACGAAATGTCCAAAATCTCAAAAATCAGGTGTCTACAGATTGAAATGCGGATCTTGTCCTAAAATTCATATTGGACGCATTAACGAACATAAAAGAGCGTTTAAAAACAATAGTCTAGATTCTAATTATGCTACACACTTAAACACATAAAAACACATTTTTGACGACAATTTTGATATTTTACATACAGCCACAAAAAGTAGAAAATTAAATTTATTGGAAGCCATGGAGATTAACAAAATGAGAGATTCAAATGTGTGCTTAATGATCCATTAGATTTAAATACCTCTCCTTTATTGAACCTAATTTTCCACCTTATTAATTAAGGTTTTATTGTCATTTTTCGGTATATATAGTAGCAGGTAATTTGTAAATATTACATTTGATAAAGACACGGTGTTGTCGAAACAATTGTCATGTGAAAATATATAATTTCGTGAAAATCTGAACTTTTAGTTCTTATTTATTTTGTTAAATGTATTTTCATCAAGGAAAAGCCACCTCAGTTCAATGATTGCAGAAGGCATATTTTAGTTTAATTAGTTTTCTCGTAAACTAAAGTAATCTCTCCAAAGATACCCTGTGTAGATAGATATTGTTAGTTTGAATGACAGTGAATTATATTACCAGGCAAAAGGAAAAATTTGTTTCTGAAGCAATTCTATGAAGCAGCAATAAAAGAAGTAGTTGATGAGAATGCTCCTAAACCATGGTCCGCAGAATACGGTACTGAATACGATGAAGAATATGTCGTACCAGGTTTTCAGGCGAAAAATGAGCTCTATAATAGGAACACGGAGGTAGGTGAGTAACTTTTACCCACATTAATTTTTTTAAAGTAAAAGTTTATTGCAGCTTTTTCAAAGACACCCACTTTATTCTGCCGCACATGTCTCTTTTTACAACTTCAATTTGCAAAATAACTCAAGCGGAGTACCCTCTTACGGTGTAACAAAGGTGATGGATCCAAGAAAAACTTTTCATAGAAATGCTGGTTTTTCAAAACCCATTGACGAATGCCTGGATGAAAGTCGTTGATCTGCTTTTAATAAATGTTCTTTCGTGCTAAGTATATAGCACATTCACATTTACGTAATACAGTTATGAATTAATAATTTGATTTTATTTAAAAAAATCAGTGATTCTTTCCAATTTAAAAAGACAGCCGTATCTTTGGTTCTAGGCATAGAACAAATACATTTCCGTTTCGCGTCAACCGCGCCATCTAATGTTAAATAATAAAACCCAATCATCGGTCCGTTTCGATCGAAATCTCGCATTGTTTGCCACCTTAACTTAGAATTAAGTTTTAAAGTTACGGTATGTAGGTACGTCGGCAATAAATTTGGAGAACTTGATTATTTAATAAAGTAAATATATTGAATATATGGACAAAAATTTCGTTTAATTAAATATTCCTGCTCATGATGTCTCGGTGTCGATGGAGTTGTCCTTGACGTCCTTTTCGTTTACGCATTTGATTTCGTAACAACAGTCAGGAAAGGGCTTCGATAATATACCAGGCATGACGTAACATGGCGGCCGAGCTTGTATTGGGGCACATCTAAAGAAATAACCATTTTTAAGCAGAAAAGTTCGAGTAAGCATTTCGGTCTAATTACGAGCTTACCCACTGAGTAGAATATCTCGATCTTCTTGACAAGTTGCAACGGCGCAAAGGTCGCCAATTCTTTTAGTTTCGCTCTTTTCAAAGGAGCCTAGTTCATACATTCCGCTGTAACAATACCCATCTAAAAAGTTTTATATTGAAATTCTTGAGAAACGTTGAATGGTACTCGAACCTGCGTCGGGTGTTGATGGATCGCGTTTTATAAGCCCTACCCACGCAAACGCACCATGACTTGCTAACAAAGTTGTTATAAACAATGTAATGGGCGACATATCTTGTCCAGTGTAAAGAGAGTTATTAAATCTTACCCGGCACTTAATTCGAACTTAGCCGATAACCTCGTGCCATTCACACGAGTAGCTAGATTACAAGTTACGTTCTACGTCTTGATTGGTCATCGTGCTTATCCGTCGTTGTTGAGGTTATGTTATGTGTATGTTTATGGTATGGTGTCATTGGTTTCGTGTTTGGGGTTGAGTTGATGGTCAAATCAAAGCGAGAAAAATTTTGGGAATTCCTGCCAAGTGCCAAAAATTTGTATATTTTTAATGGCTTAGATTCTTTCAGTAAAAAGACTAATTTATTTTGTCCTGCCGTCGTGTCGCCTTGGAACAATAAAACAATAATATTTGTGATAGGTTTTATTCTAATCAATCCAATTTAAATAAACATAGAAAGATAGTGCGTAATCTCAAGTCCAAGCTTGTTTCGTATGATAAATCAAAATATATGTACAAGTGTTTGGAAACAAACTGTAACAGTTCTTTTCGTGATAATGTAGGATTAAAAGTTTATTTAACTGATGAGCATAGAAAACAGATTGAATGTGAAGAGAAGGAATTTTCAAATAAAGAAGGTACATATACTTTATAAATGGGTAAAAGTATGGCCCGGAAGACATTAATAGAAAAAAGAAACAATTCCAGTTATGTTTTACCGACCAAATTAAAATATAAAAAAAAACAAATATTATTTTTGCACTAGATCTGGTAAGAAACAAAAAATACTTACCTTCCTATATTTCCTAATCCTGATTTTACTTCAATTTTATTCTTAGGGAAAGTCCAAACCAAAAGCTTAAATAAAAGACTTCAAAAAAGTCAGGGATCATGCAAATTAAACAAGTACTGCATTAGTATGATCAAGGATATTGAAGTAGAAAATTTATTAGTGACCTGGATTAAATCTCACTATGGTCACACGATTGACTTACAGCATATAAGGCTTGCCCAGATGGACAAGTCCATAGTAGCATCTAAACTTACATTAGGAGTCTCGCCGTCAAGGTTAGTACTAAATATCTCAAAACATTCGCAAATGTTTAATTGCGGTGAAAAGTTTTTCAGTTTACCATTTTTGTAAAGTAAAATGATTAGATAAAAGCTTGGATGTGCTCCTAGAATATGTTAGGGATAAGGCCGTTCATAGAATTATAAAAAATATTAAAGGTAAGTACACTATTCACACAAAAAATATTTTGACAAGACATAGAGCTGCTCTAATCGATAAAGAGGATAATAATAAATATTTAATTAGTACTCCATCTCTCAATAAGGAAATTAAAGAAATTTATTGTATAAAAAGACTTCAAAGTCAAAGCTGTTGTGCTTAAATGTGTAACGGTTGTAATATGTGTTACCACACATATTCTTGCTCTTGCAGTGATTTTTCAATTCGAAATTTTATATGCAAACATTCATTTTGTCGCTATGTTTTACAATAAAGAAACTAAATTGACAGAATCACAGCAAATGTTATGTGAAGAAAATAAAAGGGGGACAGTAACTTATTAGAAAGGAATGTTGGTAACTTTAAAGATTTAAATGGGGATTTTTCTGCTCGAGTATTATCTACAATGAATTAGTTGCAAAATACTGATCCAGATACTTTGAATGACGAGGTAATTCTGCAAATTCAACATCATTTAGACATAATTGACAAATTAGTTGATTTACTTAACAGTTCCACTGATTCATTCGCAGCAGTTCACTCTAATGAGCCTGTAAATAAGAAGATTCAAAAGCAGAATAGACTTTTTTCAACTCAGAAAAAAAGGAAAACTAATAAAAATCAATCTAAAAAGCCATCCGTTTTAGAAACTGTAGCAATAATTGCACATTTAAAAAGTAATTTTAATCAACCATATGTTTCCTATAATTCGTCTTTAGAAATTGTAAAAAATTCTTATTCCGTTTTTTTTTGTTTTTGTACAAAGTTGTTTTAATACTATCATTATTGTAGTTTGTAGGTGAGTTTTAGGTACTAGATAACTTTATGTGTTGTAATGAAATACCTAATAAATGTTTGTAATGAGTATAATATCATGGTATTGGATTTTTATTCCTATAATATATAATCTAAAACAATACCTATACAACAATACCACAGACTTATTTCATATTTCTGTGACAATACAACATGCATGTTCGTTAACACAAATTAAGTCTCCTTTTTTTTAAAAAAGAGCGCGGTCTATCTATCCAGTTAAAACGACGCGTAAGCACGACCAATCAAAACACGGAACGTGACTTGGGAATTAGCCGTTCGTGCATTCACTAACCGTTTGCTACTATATACGTAGGCAGTAAGAAGTCATTTTATTCTAATGTTCTGTTCAACGTAGCTCCATTTCGAATTGGTGTAAAACGCGCGAAAATGGTAGAATGTTTAATGTGGGTATCTACCAGTTGACGTAATCTCATTCAACCACTTAATGTGGTTCACATTAGTGAAACTCTCTAGTGGCAAACCTGGTATATTATGAAAGTCGCAAGGTCAAGGTTTGAACCGTTTCCAAAACTCTGATAAGGGAGCTTTGTCCGACGTAAGTAAATCACAAACTCATTTAACCATGTTGTTATTAAGGGTTATCCTCTTTATTATTTTTGCAAATCTGGTTGGGACGGTGGACGGTCCCGACAAATCGGCCAATCTTTTCCAGGGACGAGTGAATTGCCCTCCGGGACAGAGATTTGTGCGGTCTAAGAGCGGCGGTGCGTGCAGAACGCCAGTAAAAATAAAATTCCACTAAGTTCAACGTAAGTTTACGGCCTACCTTTGGTGACAATCATGTAGCTACTTCGAGTGGTTTGCAGTATTTTTGCAGGCTGGCTATATATTACATTATATTGGACAGCCCCGTTTTAAAATGCCCTTATAATTTGCTAGAGATATATTTATATAATATATTAAACTTAAACTGCTTGTAAATAATTTGTGTTTACCATAACAATGGATTTATATAAAAATTTTAATAAAGTGTGAGATTTACTGTAGTCTTCTTTTTGCACTCATCAAGGAACTGTCGAGGTGTTTAGTAGTTTTGCAAAGTGCTGTGCAAGGTGGTCACAATTAATTACATTAAAATAACTGCAATTTTGTTAATAGTTCGAAAAATTTATACAGGTGTTTTTTAAGTAATCTAATCTTTTAAAATCAAACATTAATGGTATTAAACTGATATTTAAAATAAAAATATCAAATAGCTAAATTGACCTTAGCTTTCTTAAATTAAACCCAACGTTGCAAAAATGGATATTTCATGTTAATTTCAAAATAGTACACTGTAAAACCTATTTACGCTATTCACCTCTCTAGAAAACCTCGTACAACACTAACAATACCGCTTGTGAGCTATTGTTGTGACTCGGTTATGTTTTGTTTGTAAACTGGGCCGATTTAAATTAATAAGTAATAATGAGCAAAAATCTTTATTAGATTAGACGATAAACAAGATATGCTGATTCACCCGATGTTATTTTCTAACTTACCGTCCATTTCAAATATCGCTTGTCAAGATGTCGGTAATTGTACCATATACGATCTAACAAACAATAGCTACAGAAGTATCAAATAAGAGTGTAAGATAATAAATTAAAAGAATAAGAAATAGTAATCAAATCACATTTGAGGCTGTCACTAAAGTTAGATTTGCATTTGGATTCAGATGTGCAAATATGACAGTGGACCAGTTCGTTACTTATCCAAATTAAAAACATATTCCTATGGACATGCTGGGTAAGTATGCACGGAAATAATTTAACGAAAATCTCAAAAATCATATCCAATGTTAGTATACAGAAAATAACTCCTTTTCCGCTCGCATCACTGCAAAAAATAATTTAATTACTATTTCGCAATCTCGAAAAAAATCTAACGTCCCAGAGATTCAAGCAGACCATGAAAGAGCTTCAAAATTATGTATTACTCGACCACCTTGAAACGGTCGGGAAGATATAAAACTACCCCTCCGTAATGAAATATCCAAAAGTTCGATATATTTATTTTGCAATCGCAAAAAAATCTAAAGTCCCAGATATTCAATTAGACCATTAGAGAGCCACTAAGGAGCGCTTCGTGAAAATTATATATTGTTCAATCACCTCGAAACGGCCGGGAAGATATAAAACTACCCCAATAATGAGACACCCTAAAATTCGTTTTATTTATTTATTTACTTATTTTATTTTATTATTTATAATGAGATATCTTAAATTTCGTTTTATTTATTTCGGAATCTCAAAAAAACCTGACGTTCGAGATATTGAATTAGACCATTGAAGAGCCACTTAGAAGAGCTTCAATATGATGTACTACTCAACCACCTTGAAACGGTTGGGAAGATATAAAACTACCGCCAATAATGAAATACCGAAAATTTCGATATATTTATTTCGCATTCGCAAAAAAATCTGATGACATTCAATTAGATCATTAAAGAGCCACTTTTTTTGAAATTGCGAAATAAATATAACGAACTTTTGGGTATTTCATAATTGGTTGAGTAATAGATAATTTTGAAGCTCTCCTAAGTGGCTCTTCAATGGCCTAACTGAATATATGGGACGCCAGATTTTTTTGAGATTGCCAAATAAATATAACGAATACTTGGGTATTTCATTATTGGGGGTATCTTTATATCTTCCGGACGGTTCCGAGGTGGTTGAGTAATACATCATTTTGAAGCTCTTCCAAATGGCTTTTCAATGGTCAAATTCAATATCTGGGACGTCAGATTTTATTGAGATTTAGATTTTTTCGAGATTGCGAAATAGTAATTAAATTAATGTATTTTTTGCTGTGATGCGAAGGGAAAAGGGGTATTTTCTGTATAGCAACATTGGATATGATTTTTGGGAGTTCCCTTTCAGAATCCAATTCCAAATCTAACTTCAGCCACATCTTTTAAGGCTATTCACCCACACTTGACCTAATTAGTCAGTAGGGACAGTAATAACTTTTGGTTAGCTTAAAACGAATAAAATTAAACGATCTTTTGGTTACCTACTTGAAAATATACAATTTCATTAAATCTTAAAGTTATTTTTTGCTTGCAAATAAAAGTTTGCAAAAGAATTTGTTTGAAGCGGCACAACAATAAATGTGTTTGTGAATCAATCAAATGGCGTGGTAAAGTAAATTACGACCAAACTTTAAACTGCAGATTCAAATGCGGATTGACTAATAAAACTGAAACCTCCTCGAAAATAGAGAATTCTCCAGTGGTTAGTGATTTTTTTAAAAACAAGAACGTTTTGCGGTGCTGAAAGAAAAAGTAGTTGCACTGGTGAGTTAAATTTTTTCGTAATTTGGATTAAACTAATGTTGAACTATGGATTAATCGGGACCTCGAGAGAAAACCATTCGTCGTGTTAGCAGATATAGTAATAAAACCGCTTGATCAAATTTTGTCATATTTGGGCGTATTAAACTAATGGGGGCCAAATTTTGGTAACACTAACAATGGAACAAATTATTTTTTTGCGGTTTGTATTTTTGAGATATTCAATTTTCGTGTTACAAATTAATCGGTAAAACTTTGTAGCGTTAGTAGACAAAATAATAAGTCCGCTGAAACAGATTTTCTTTTCACATTTGAACGTCTGAAACGTGAGGTTCCACGATTTAGCAATCCGGAACATTGGAAAATTTTATTGCCTGGCTTACCGCTTTTATTATTTTATCCTGTTGGAAGATCCAGTGGCACGACAAGCATTTTATACCAAACCTTTGCTGTTATTTTTTTAAATACTATACAGGATGTCCAGTATAAGATGATTTACATGGGGATTTTGGAAACAAGCATTGTTTTTTTTTTAATCGATACCCTTACCTAGATATAGGGTGAAAAAGGAAAATGTTCATTTTTGAGGAGAAACCACCATATTTTCCTTATTATAGCAGCTGAAATGTTTAAATTTTCAGGATATGGCATAAAAAAATTACGTTAAAATTATATTGCGTACGACGGAAATCAACTTTATAAATGCTTTTCCACCATTAACGCATTTATGTTTATCCAGAAAAATAACAAAAATCAGATTTTAGGATAGTAGACTTTGATATTGCTATTCAATTTTAAACATTTAAATCATGAGTAGAGAAGAAACGAGTCAATAAAATTGAAGAAAGAGCATCAACAAAAGAATTCAGTGAAATTTTATACACACCTTTAAAGGTTCTTTCTTCTTTAATGCACTAAAAACGAAGAAAATACACAGAATTTTAAGATAAAATTAAGGTAAGTGTTCAAAAATAATGTACATCTTCTCAACACTGCTCAATATTTGCGGAATGATACTGTTAACAGCTTCTGTAATAGCCTTTCTTGGTTCTCCAACTTTTCCAACGTTTACTGTATACTTGATTTTTCAGGTGACCCCATAGAAAGAAAGCACGGGGTGTTATGTCTGGGGATCTCGCTGGTCTAAGGTTGCCTATCCACCTGGTGGGAAATTCTACATTTAAAAAGTTACTAACAATCATTGTGTGGCGGTGAACCGTTTTGTTGGAAAAACGTAGCAGAGACGCTAGTAGAAGGTTCATCGAAAAAATATTGTCGGATTTTGTGTTAAATGCTCACCTCAGTTGACCTCGGTTGTACGCAACATAGTAGGACGTCATTATTAACATCGTCGTATCCTTATATCCATTTGCTGAAAATTTGAACATTCCAGTTCCTATAATAAGGAAGATATGGTTTTTCACAAAATGGACATTTTCCTGAAATAAAGCTAGATTATCTTTTGGCATATACACACGCAATTTTTTCTTCCATTTAAGGACGCTGTATCTCTTGCAGTTTCCAATATCTCATACTGGACATCCCGTATATGTTATAACAAGTATTTTTGCTTCGATCCTGAGCACGGCCTACTTACATTTACAAAAAGGCCTTGTATCTGTGACATTTTTAATGAAAAATATAAACAGCACATGATTAAAAAGGACTTAATAACAGCATATTTTTGAAAAACGGGTATATTTCACTCAAAACAGTGTCTTGTCTGTGTCGGAAATGTTCATAAACAAAAAAGTTCAGTCAATATCTCGGTCGGCTGTGAATATATCCAAAATGCGATTTTTACCAAATTTATCTAAAAAAAATCCATTTTGCTCTTTTTAGTTTGGATTTAGCTTTTTCCCGTAAAAAGATTCCAATTTTGACCACCCCTATATATCTCTACTAGTACTACTATCTGCTAAAGACTTCAACGTAATAGAAAGGTACATAATTTTTTTAAAACATTTTTAGTTTTTGGGGGGGCCATAACTTTGCCGATAATAAAAGTTTTGTCCCGCAAAGAAAATTCTATAAACGACTCCGGAATACTCCGGTCGGTACTAGATTTGAGGATTTTCTCGCTGCTCCGGTTGCAAAATGCAATTAACGCCCCGTTTCCGGCTCTACGATGTCGTCATAAAACGAAGTCAAATTTCGTTAGCGAATTTATTGCACATCCTGCAAAAGTTTTACGCAACTTCCAAAGTTTACGACAGTATCTGTTAATTAATAGAGAATATGCAGGAAGCCTGTAAATGAATGTAATGAACCACAGTTTCAAACTCGCGTACATGGAACGCTCGCCGCGCGGGTTGCAGTAAAACACCCCCCAGGGGGGTTGTTATACACTCTTAAATGCAATCTAAATTTTATGCAAATGGCTCGTGTTTAGCGTTAAATAATGCCGAGGAAATATCGCCATGAAAACACGTCGGCTGTGTTATAAGTACTAAATTTATTTGTCTCGACACCTTACACACTAGTGTAACAAAAATCTTCAATATGCCGATTTACATTCTCCTAAAACGTAACAGACAACATGGATATGGATCTATATATTTACAAAAATAATTTCTCGGGGTGTTTTTGTTTTTTTTTGGATTTTACAATTAGGAAAATAAGCCCTAACGGTAAGCTCAAACTAAATGGTAGTCCCCAAAGTATATGTTCCGTTATTTAAGGAATTATTAGACCAACATTTCACGTAAACACAAGTGTAAAGTTACTGGAAAACAATGGAGTTTTGAAATTTTGGAAATTCTAAATTCTGGTTTAGTTTCGCAGAGATTCGGTTGAGTTTTTAATGTTGAAAATAAACACGAAACATATCATTATAATCTAATTAACACCATCATTATAATTTTTTATATATTTTTTTCAAAGCATACTTGGTTTCATTTATACATTTATATATATTTTGATTTGGTATACTGACAACAGTTTGTAATTCTTTTACTTTTTTAATTTACTATAGGTTAGGGTAAAGATATCGAAATGCGGTTTTCACTAGCTTGTTAGACTCTTATTTGGCTATATTTTGTTGCAATGAAAGTGATATCGTTGAACGAATTTTTCGAGGGAATAAATTTTATTTATAGTGAATTGCCCACCCGGTACATACATCATTATATTCACGGAATCGAATACATGGAATATATGAATCTTCTTTTGTAACACATCCATATGTTGATTGTTGTTTTTTTAAGAAAAATCACACTTTAAGTTTTGAATTTATCTTTTGTGGACTTAAAATAAACACCGCCTTAAATACCGGATCGTATTTGGGGACCACCCTGTATAAATATAAATGTTACAACCTAGATCGGTGACCCTATGAAAACATTGAAACAAGTAAAGAAGTAAAACATTAAAAATTGTAGAAATGACGTAAAAATGACAGTAAAGCAGAAAAGAAAACAATCATATTTAAACAAATTTTCACATACCTAAAGCACTAATTTGCACACAACCGAAAATTAAATCAATGAAAAAAAAAATGAAGGAGAAGAATACTGTCGAGTGAGGTGGTCTTTTGACTAACCAAGAAATAAGAGCAGCTGTCACCTGATCTACAATACAAGTTTTCGTCTCGTTGGCTGTAGCAAGTCTACCTATACGATTTTTCATCATTTTTATTTACAGGGAGAGTAAATTTGATTGCAACAAGGTCGAGTTTAAAGCAGTTCTTTTTATTAGAGTATGCCATCAACCGTTTAATGAAACTAAAGAACAGATTTTTTGACAATGGGAAAAGTGACTTTCAAATCTGTCGGCGAAATTTAATAGTCTACGCAAACGAGCAGATTACTTTTTAGTCCTGCAAAAGGTAAGTCGCGAAAAGGATTGTTGCTGCTGCTCTAACTAGTCCCCGTGCTTAGAATAAACTCAAACGCTGTACATCTATTGGGATCTCCGGGGTTTTAAAACATCAGCAGGAATATACGTTTACGATTTTTGATTACGCGCGATGATGATTGGTAATGATTTTGACAGTTCACAAAAGGACAGCAACAGCGGGGCTATCTATAACATCATGAGGCTTCTTGAAATGAATCTTGATGACTGGCGGTAGCTCTTTAGACTCCCAACCTTGGAGTGGCTGCAAAATAAATAAGATAATTTATTCTGTGGGAGTCTCATTCGATAAAGCTTAAACTTGACTCACGGTTATGACGTGCGTCCAGCAACGGTATTTACATATTTACAAAGCAAATTCGCTTCTATGGGCTGGACATCGAGTCGGACAGCACTTCCGAAGGCGTGCCGTCGCTGGAATTGATGGAAAACGCCCTGTTCGACGCCCTCCTTTGCCTCAGAACCGACGCGTCGAAATTCGGATGTCTTCTCGCATGTTTGCTGGAAAACAAGAATAGCGGATAACCTTCAACCCCCTCCAAATCGATACGTGGCGCAATAATTGCATCCACTACAAACAATATCGCGAAACATTCGGAATCAATAACAACCAGTCGCTTTGGCTGGTATTTGCTTGGTATACTGGGTGACTCACTTTGAGTGTCCTATTAAAACTTCCGGAGAAGTAGCTAACGTTTTTTTTTTAAATTTGGTGGCCCCTATTTTGGCCAATGCAGTATTATCAGATCTATCTAATTAACTAACTAACCAAAACTATTTTAAACTATAGTTTTTCAAGTAGAAGATCTTTCATATTTTCCTAAAATTTTTTGAAAAAATAAACTAATTAGTTATGTATGTGACACAAGCAAGTGGGAACATTCTATAACTTTTAAACGGTTTGAGATAGCGTTTTGAAATGTGAAAGGGTTAATATGGCTGAACGTCTAATTTTTTTACAATATGTAGTCATTTCCGATTTGAGCGGAAAAGTCAGTAACTTTCGAATTTTAAATGGCCCAACCTATTTTTTTCGTGTTTCACAAAACGGGACAATTTTGCGTCCCGGAGCTTTGTTTGGGGACAACGGGACAGGTGACCTATAAAAGGGACAGCCCCGTTCAAAACGGGACGTATGGTCACTTTATATATAGGGGAAGAACTTTGATATGTCCTTGTGCGGCGTATTCTGGCTATACTTTTCTCTCCTTTCTCTATTTATTTATTTTTGTTTTTTTTGATGAAGGGCAGCAGATGCTGGAGATTAATATCTGAATCTTTAATTAAATAAAGGGTATTTCCAACTTTGCTTATAATTTCATATAAAGTTTATGAACTACCCCGCACACCAAATCGAATCACCCTATATACCGTCGACGCTATTAAATGCGTCCAGCATATTTAGCCAACGCACTAAATGAATAATTTCGTATTTATTTTATACGTCGTGTTTTCACCTGATAAATGTGTCACCGATAACGAACAATTAACTTTAATATGAGGGTGTAGGCTGTTAACGGCCGACGAGGGAAGTTTCAGTTTCCTCTGTTTTTACGCGTAAAAATAAACAACGTTTGACATTAAATTTAACGTTAAATTTGCCATTTTCGGAGACCTAGAAGGGCAACGACGATCGTCAAATGGGAAGACAAAAGAACGCGCCGATGAAAAACCAGAGAAAAACAGCAAACACTGTACTCTTATTAAAGCTACAAATCCGTTCCACTCTTGATCACTCATTTTGGATTTCCTTTTCTGCTTTTCCTTATGGTGACCTATCCTTTCTCGGACACTGCTAATTATGTCCTAGAAGTGATCTTGTTGACAACCCATACCACTGTCTTAGATTCTTCAGCCATGAAATACTTCTTGGAGGTTACTTTCAATGTGTGGCTTATTTTGTTTTATTCATTTGTGATGTTGCATTTTAAGTATGCGTCTATACAGCATTTCAAAAGACTCTAAGTTTTTCAGTACAGCCTCTGTTGGAAGCTTCTAAACTTACACTATATATTTTACCTACATCATCTGCTCCCGGCTTTCATGAAAGAAAGATTCCCAATAGGGGAGCTTCTCAACACTTTCTAACTAATTTGCTTAAAGGTTTCGAACAATACGATAGTGTTTGGACTTTGGGACATTCATTTATAGTGCGTATTCTTTACATATTTCAATTTCAAAGCATCAGTATGAGTCATAATATTGTCTGTGACTTTCGGTGAATATTAGATCTAGTTTGGTAGTTGATGGTTGATTGGTGCTTGTCTGGAAGAATGTTTATGGATGTAGGATAAACAGTATAATAACACTGCACTTATCGGTGCTACAAAATAACGCATTTTATAAATAAGTTTTTTGAAAAGAAATTTTTCTAATATATACAATTTACTCAAGTGAGATCTGCAATTTTTGTCAAATATGCATGTCAATATGCATTTTAAAAAGTTGGGATGATGTTTCCTACTTAGTCTTACTTATATTAAGGGATAATTTCAAAGCGTCCAAGAACATCATTAATATGTTTTAACCATTTTCGAATTTTATCTCGAAGAATTCCCAACTAACCTATAACATCGACTATATAACTTATTACCACCAACCAGATGGTTACTAATTTCCTTGTATTATAAGTATTCATACCCTCAGTAACTCAAAATTGATGCGTGCAATTTATCTTGATAACATTTTATTAGACAGTAACTTTTTTTGTTCTAAGAGATATCAAAGTAAACAAAAAACCAAAAATTTAGGGTTACTAGCCAAGTGTTTTTTCAAGTGGCGTATGAAACAAAACCCTATCAATTTTCTGACATATAAGCCTGCATCATTTTTTTAACTGAACATCCTGTATATTATATATGTGTTCCGATTACAATGATGTAACACTTTATATTTTAGTCCACTCGCCTTTGACAAATCGGCAAAAATAGGAAATTCAAATTTCGAAGAGCGCTCTGACTGACAAAGAAAAATACGTTTTTCTACTCCTGTCTGAAAAATACCTAACTACGCACCGATCTAGCGTGCGGGAAGCGTTACTTTACCACGTACCAAGTTCGTTTCCCATGGATTCGAGCCATTTCGGATGTTTTCGGAGCCTTGAATTTTGACGTTTGTCAGTTCTGACGGTGATGTCAATGAATCTTTTCGTGTTGTTTCGTGAAAATGTACCCAAAAACTAACGGTCGTAGAAAAATTATAGTATGCAACACGTTCGGTAATTTTTTTAAGTCACTCGTTTATGAAACTCTCGCTCCGCTGCCCTCCGCTGGTGTCAAATAAACTCGTGAGTCAAATGCCGTGTACTACACTTGTGGCATAATTTACTATTGTGTTTGACATATTAGTAAACAACGTTCATGTTTTAATTATTGTACAGGTCAGTATTGTTGAAATGGTACTAAAATGGTGTTAAAATTAGATAGATATTCTATTAAACACATATATAATATACAGAGTGTTACATTTAAAAACATATATAATTTAGGCTTATATGGAAAAAAAACTTTGATATCTCTAACAACAAAAAAGTTACAGCCAATTAAAATGTTATCAAGATAAATTGAAGGCAAGGGTCACTACTGCTAAGAAAATTAAATAATCTAATTAATGTCCGAACCAATATTTTCATTTATGGATGGTTTATGTTCTTTCATACATGCACATTACTTTTATTTTATTTTATTTTTATTAATTATTGTTTGGTTTATAAATAAAAAAAAAATATTAAAAAATTATGTTCTAAGCGAGGTGCAACAGTTAACGCTACTGTAGCCGACAAGTCACTTACTCAACCCGAAACGATTACTGTTCTATAACTTCGAAATTTTCACGAAAATTTCTAACGCAGATGATAAGTCGCTTATTGTTAAAAACATTTTCGCAAATGCAAAGAACTAGACGAAAACAATTTTACTGAAAATAATGTAGGTCGGATTATCAAAATTATAAAAGCTTTTCAATGGCGCTTATTCGAGCCGGCCAATCTCTCGTCTGACAGTCTGAGAGAAAATCACAAACGGCACTTAAAAGTTTCTCGAGCTTTTCCACCAGTTTACGAATTAACTGTTAGAAATAACCGTTCATCGTTGAGGGATCACACTCGCTATGGAGCGGGCACGCCGTTCAGAATAACCACGTCGGAAATAGATTTTCCAAGTTAATCGTTATCCTAAGGTGAGCGAGTGGGTGTAAAGGCTACCGCAAATCATTTAATGGAATTACGATACTCAAATATGGAACATGCGGATCTTGAAATTTCAAAAAATACAACACCTTTTTGTGATTCCATTGTAGGTTTATCCGTTTGAAGTTTAGATTATTTATTGAATTGTATGTTTTTTAAACCTGCTGTTATTGTATTAAGGAAGGAAGGAATGAGAATCGCTTGACATAGAATTATTGAGTGAATTATAGATTGTAGTAGTATGTACCATGGACGGATCTGAACACGCAAAAAAATGTGTTGTAAATGTGTGGGAGTGTTATTATTTATTAATTATAATTTATTGACAAAAACAAAAAGCAATAGACCTTGCGAAAAAAGCCCAAACTCACTATCACAGTTGCTGAGAGAGAAATATCAGAGAGAACTAATAAATTATAAATCAGCGAACAATGATAAACTTCAACTCAGTATTCCAGTACAGGTATAGTCTATTCATAGATATAAGAAAGTGACTAACTGATACGAATTAAGGAAAGACCCGGGCAAGCCGTAAGAATAAAATATGGGCGAACAGGTCCGTACTTTTCTTAGAATTTAAGTATTTGGGGTTTTGTTAGGAAAGATACTAAACAATAGTTATTTATTTATATATGTATTTATGTTTAAATCTAAAATATAATTACAAATTATTTTTATTACCTATTTAAATTACTTAAAATTCTTCACATAACATATCAGTATCACTATCGCTATCATCGCCTGTTCTAATTATTATTTGTTCTATGTTATTTGCAATATGGATATACTATTGTTCTGCTTTTTCTATATGTTTAACAAAATTTGCCCAACTTTGTGGAGGGATGTTAAAAACTTCGGTTTCTATAAGTTTGAAGACATTGGAGTTAACACGGGGAAAACATTGTTTCGACGAATGGCAGATTTCAGTTGGTGCCAAACATGTTCAATGGGATTAAATATACAGTGGTAAGGTGGAAGCCTTAAAACTGTATGCCCTAGATTTTTGCATAATTATCACAGACATATTCCTTTTGTAGGTTCAAGCATTGTAGAACTTCAATTAATTGTTTTTTGGTATAATCTTCGTGAAAATAAATGTCGTCATTATACATGTAGTTTTAGTCAACTGTCTACTGTGACAACTTGAATTGTCCATTACAATTACGCTATTAGAAGGAATGTTTGGAACTAGTTTGCTTTTAAACCAACTTTCAAATAAATCAGCGGTGGTGTCTTCATGGTAATCCAGAGAAGAATATTTAATATTTTTCGCAAACATTTGGAATCCAATCCAATCCCATCTTTAGATGCAGCA